CTAACTAATGGTATCGCTGGCCCTGTGTGTACCCATTCAACAGGGCAAGCACTTACACGTCACCAAAAGGACGAGAGGAGTCCCTGACATGTATGAAACAGGGTATGCTGATTTGTATGTACAGATGAAAAAGTTTGACATTTTTTAAAATTTTAAACAGACCTACAATGATCCAGAACGTACCGGATGATCTGTGTACTTGCTAACTCTGTTGCCACATGATGCTGTGAGGGTCAACCTCAACGTCTCTGATCTCCCTTCTTATGTTCTTAATATGATTTATGCCCCATGCTTCTCCCTTGCAGGACCCAAGATAGCTTACAGCATGAATTTTAGAAAAAAGATACAGGGGGGAAAACCACCACAATTAATTCTATCATTAAAAAGCCATTAAATAAACTATTCCATTAAAACACGTATTGAATTCACATGATTTTAAAGCCTGAGAGAGAGAGAGAGAGAGAGAAGCAGCAGCAGCAAACAAGTATAAAGGCCATACTTGAAAGTTCCTTCCTCATCAGTCAACCAGTAGCCAAAAGCCAATCTAAATAAGAATTATTTTGGTTGCCAGTGCAATGACAGAATCCCTCATCCCTTGGATGGCAATTCCATACCATTTTATAGTATATTTTTAAGTCAACATATTTTTAAATAAGATCTGCGCCATGCAAAGCTTTAGAGAGCCAACACCTTCAAAAGGACAGACGGCCCTCAAGCATCTTTTCAAATGGAGGATTGAAGTCCCTAAAAGAGGACAGGTGAACACTCTATCACCCAATAACAGGCATTAAGAGTGGAATTAAGAGTACCAACTCCGCCTGATGCACGCCCAAGAGTTCTCTCTTCCACTGTAGCCGTTTAGTTCTTCCCCCTCTATGCATATTCATGAAGCTTGTGATAATAGCAGATGTCACATTTCTCCCCCATGAAGGAGGCTGTGACAGCCTCCTGGGATGCTAGGAAACTAAAATTAGACCTAAGTACCAACGAGAGAGGGAAGCACATATAGATCACTTTCCTCTCTCATTGTAGCGGGACAAGGAGATCTTGGAGGCAACGGCATGAATGTTCCTGCCCTTAAAAAAGGGAATGGGAGCTATGATGAGTAAGAAATCTCAGCTGATCACATGTAATAATTACAGAGACCTTGGGGATATATCTAATTATGGGGGACAATTTATTAAGTTTTCATTAAACAAATGTCTTGATGATCTAATCTTCTACCCCAAGAGTGCATGAAGGAGGCAAAGAGCTCTTTTGTTCTTCTATCAGGGGTTTAGACATACTGTTAAGAAGAAGGATAGAAAGTGAAGTGATGATCAAAGAGCAACTGACAACCTCCAGGATCTGTTTTGGCAGGTCATGTCCCAACATAATTTATTCTTTTCATACAAACACAGAGAAAGATTTAAAACAACAGCCAAGATCTACCCAACACTAAACTTCTCCTGAAGAAGTGTGCTTAGACACACAAAAGCTTCTGAAAAATAAAAACTAGTTAAGTCTTGTATCTGTGAAGATTCTCAGTCATCCTTCTTTCTTATTAGATTGAAAAATGATTTGTTACTCATCCAAGTAGCTTCTTCAGTCTGAGGAGAGCTGGTCGGAAACCCTTGAAGATATATCAAGGGTCTCCTACCAGCTCTCCTCAGGCTGAAGAAGCTACTTGGATTAGTGAAACATTTCAACCTAATGAGTCCACTTGCCATGACTCAACTTCCAGATAAGTCTTATAGGTGCTTACTGTTTCTGCTATGAATTCCAATAATCAAGAGTTTTTCCCACTCCCCCTGAGATCATTCATGATGCTCGAGACCTGCTCTAAAGGGCTTCACAATCCTCTAGATCAGTGGTCCCCAACCTTGGGCCTCCAGATGTTCTTGCACTACAACTCCCAGAAGCCTTCACCACCACCTCTGCTGGCCAGGATTTCTGGGAGTTGAAGTCCAAGAACATCTGGAGGCCCAAGGTTGGGGACCACTGCTCTAGATAAGGCCTTTGGGAGACTTCAGGGAGGGGAAGGTTTACCAGTTCGGAAGGAAACAACAAGATCCAATGTTGGCTGAGACACATCTGCAATTTGCTATGCTGAATTAGGATACTCAATCTGAGGATGTTTCATCTGAGTAAGAACTGCCAATCCTCAGAAGAGCTCATTGCAATGGCACATCCTTTGTTAGAATCATTTTTAAAATACAAAAATCCTCTTAAAAAGCAACTGGCTGGCCTCTCTCTGTGCACACTGACAAAATCAAAACAGAATGTGTGACTCCTAGAAAACATATACAGGTATTTCAAAGAAATTACTAAAATATTCTTTGGTCTGGAACTACAGAACACTTATCTAATGTTGCAAGAAAAAGCATGTAGTGGGAACAAAGAATCCATGCTATTTATACTCTGCTTTTCTGCCATAAGTGAGACTCAAGGTGCTAATAATTTATAAGAAAGAAAAAAAACATTTTGGGGGCAGGAAAGTGGGCACTTTAGATACTGGGTAAAATCCAGATGTGTAGCTATGCAGCTGTAACTTGGCTTATGCCAATGATAGCTACCATCATACCAGGGTAGATGTGCTATCCTTGAAGTACTTCTGCTGGCACATTGCATAATTGGTCGAACATGAACTTCACCAACAATTGCGCAATCACCTTGTACAATTCTTTTCTGAATTCTACTATCACCCAATCAAAGCCCATGCATCGTCAGTCCTGAGTGTAATGAGGACTCAGAATAGCTACCTAAACAGAGCAGCAAGCAAATTCTAGAACACAGCCAGTCCAGTAAGGGATATATCATCCTCCCATTGCCATGCCTAGACATGTAATGGTTGGGTAGCAGGCAGAAAAATAGAGTCCAGTGAGGTCGGTCATAGCCCTTTCCAGGACTCAGTGACTGTCATTTCCAAGAGAGGTTTTTCCATTGGAGCTTCAGCCGTCAATCTCCTTCTGTTCTAGCACTCCCTTCTTTTGTTACTGCAACTGGTGCCAAGTATTTTGTTCAAATATCAGCATTTTTAATTTTAAAAACACCAGACCAAATTTCACAGATGTGTAGTTGATGATCCAAATACAACTGAAGGCTTCCTGTACTACTGCATGTCTACTCTGGTAACATAAACATATCCCCGCTTCATCTCATTTTGACAGTTCTTTCCAAAGCTGAAAGACATCCCTAGTGAAAATTGTATCATATTGGAGACGGCAAAGTGCACTCTTCCTGTTTGCAAGAGTTTTTCAGTCTCTGACAAGTACCATCTGGTGGTTGTAGTTTTATTAACACTTAATACCACAGTATTAATAACTTATGAATGCAGAGTAATTATTGCCAATTTAGTAACCATCTGTGTGAAAACAATGCCACATCAAATTCAAGCTTTAATCAAAAATGCTGAATTATAGCAACATGGCAATTGGCATGCTTACAGCTTGAACAAAATAAGTATTTTCTGTCTTTTCCCCAGGAGGAGATCCCAACATGAAAATGTTAAATGTCTTTCATATAGACTGAAATACATAAAAATAGCTACGAGAGAATAAATTAAACACGTAGCAACAATCCACAACAGCTCGGTATACAAAAGTATAGGGGAAAAAACAAATGCTTTACAGAAGCAGAGTAAGTATGACACTGAAATCTAGGATACACATAGAATGTGTTTGTTGCCCAAATTTAAAATGAAGTCAATTTTCTGCAACTAACAAATGTGGCAGCAGAGAGAGAGAGAGAAAAAAAGATAGGCAAGGAGAAAGAAAGAACACACACAGGAGAGCAAGCTATGAAGTCCTGCAAACTTCATACTGGGTCCTCGTGTAGGATCCCCACCCCCACCCCATGACTTCTCCTACGGATCAACAGCACTTTATAGGAAAGGCGCGTTCCCCAGGGTTAAATGGGGGAGGGATGAATAGCATATATGTGTGTACGGGTTAACCCTGTCCTCATGCTGCAATCCTAATTTGTGTGTCTAAGCAACCCTAAACACTTCATAAAAAGAAGGTAAAAATGCAGTTGTTTACTTCCCCTCTAATTTGATCATAACTCTCAGAGCATTTCCATCTCCTTTAGGGTAATTCTAATAGCATTTCTTCATTCCAAAGCATCATGTCTGGGGATAAATATCTCCCCTCTTCACAGACTTTTTAAACCAGTAAGTTTTAAACCAGTAAGCAAGTAAGTTCTGGCAAAGACTGCAGGATGGACTTCCGAGGTTGTGCTGCAAGGTGACAAGGAAGCAGAAACCAAAAGATGCCCTGGCCCTTCGAGGACAACACTGGAATAAAGCCCGGGCATCTGCACAGAACAAGATTATGGGAGATCCTGCAAAAGCCAGGAGATGGAAGAAGTCGTGGACATGAATTGAAACAGAGATGAAGACTGAAACAAAAGGAATGTGAAGACGTCTCTCTTCACTTCAGAGGTAAGAAGTGGTGGATTCTGATGACACTCCTTTCCATTCTGATTGAGTGAAAATCGAGACTAATATGTAAGTTTTCTTAACATCTTAACCAGGCGCGTGTGCTAGCAACAGAAAGAAAAGGGTAAAAATTGAAAACTAGCATGAGTATTCCTGGAGGCGATGTTGTGACACACAGAATCCTTTGACATATTTGTGTTGTTCAGATTTCAAGGACTTGGGCGCATTCAAATACACAGAAACTTGCAACCTGAACATAACATTCCAAGTCTAGCTGTTGAAGTCGTTAGACTATAAGATCGATCAGTGTACACACAGAAACACACTATAGTGGACAGATTAGCCTGTACAGGTTGCAGTGTTGATGGAATTGTCCCTTGCCTCCAGAGAACAACTTCACAACTGAAATACTGTGTGGAGAAGCTCCAACAAGCCCTAAGATCACACCTCCTTTTTCTTATAACCCTGGCCCAATGGATGGAGTGGAGCAAGTCCCAGGCAATAGCTCGACACAGAAGCTGATCCTGTAACAGATTCAATGCACTAATCTGCCAAGGAGCACCAAGAATTACAGGGTGCTCTTTTTCTTTCTTTTTTTTAAAGTTGGTTGTTTATTTCATAAACTTGGCACACACTTCTATTCCAGATCCATGTGACTTTGCCTTAAGCCAGTTTTAAAACTGACTGCTGGCACGGCTGTTCTGGCTGATTATTGTGGTTCTTCATCCTCAAGCTTGCTTTTCCCCTCTTCCGTTCCAGCTTCATTTTCAGCTTCCTCTTTGACTCCCTCTTCTTCTTCTTCCACTTCTTTCGAACCTTTTACTTCTTTTCTTGTTTTGTACCCCCTGTAAGTGGCCTGAATTTTTGTGGCTGCTTGTTCTTCTGTAAAACTAATACTGCTACCTTCTGTTCCTGGTTTCTCAACAGCCTCCTCCTTTACAATTAAAAAAAGAGAGAGAGAAGACAGTTACACATTTAAAGCTCAGTATTTCATCAACCGATAATTAAAAATTTTTTTGAATACGTTTAGAAGAAATTGTAAGTTGCACTCAATGTAATATACGTCTCCATTACACAAAGGTCTTTTGAAAGCTGGTTTACAATGCCAAGAGTGGGTGGAAAAATAAGTTGAATCTTCTTTTGTCACTTTTAAAAATATGTATTTCTACAAGACACCAGTGGGGTTATTTTTAGCACTGAATCTTGTGAATGTCACTTTGGCAGTTTTCCATTATTTTTCAAAATGAAGTTTTGCCTGCTAAGAATTTCAGAATTTAGCACTTGGATAACACCAACTGTTCGTGTTTGATATGAAAACCAAAAATTTATCTCTGAATAGGGAGAAGAAGAATGCCAATATCAGCTCCAGTTTCCTAACCTATATGGACAAAGGCATTCTAACTACCACTCAGACATGGTATAGTTTTGCAGATTTAGGTTTCACTGAACTTTGTATTAAGTATGCAAATTAAGCTTATGGCTTCAACCTGAGTTTGCTTCTGAGTAAATATACACAGGACTGCTTTGCAAGCATCTTTTTTTACTGAAATACAATTTTGCTAAGTTATACTGTGGCCAAGTTTTGTTTGTTTTTCTTACAAGGCAATGGACCTTAATGGAAAATTCTTGCAGGGAAATGTGCTGCCTTTTATGTGCTGAATCATTCTCCATTAATAAGTTGTATGCTTGTAAGAATAGATAGGTCAAATTGCCAGGTGTCTGGAGGAACTTGCTGTTGTTTTATGCAAAATAGTTTTGAAGATGGGTGAAATTGTCTTCTTTACCTGAATAGGCTAATCTCTTATTCAAGTCTTAGTTTCTAAAGGAAGAATTGTTTTGGTGGATCAACAACCAGGGATTCAAAACTAAAATTTAAGCAAAGGAATGAGAGTCTCTTTTACTCACCACAGACTTCATGTCTCTGTAAACAGCAGTGAGGAAAGATATGTTGGCTCCACTAAGATATACAGTGGTGCCCTGCATGACGACGATAATCCGTTCCCCTGAAATCGCTGTTAAGCTAAATCATCGTCATGCGAAAAACAATTCCCCATTGGAATGCATTAAAACCTATTTAATGCGTCCCAATGGGGAAATTGCCTCGTCGTCCAGCAAAGATCGCCCATAGGGAAGCCATTTTCCGAGCGCCGATCAGCTGTTAAAATGGCTGCCCTGCAAAGCATGGGTCTGGAAAACACAGGTCAGCCATTTTAGTAACCCAACAATCAGCTGGAAAAATCGTTGTCTTGCGAACAAACGGTTCATGAAGCACGGACCTAATCATCGTCAAATGAAAATCCCCCATAGGAAATATCATCTTGCGATCGCTATAGCGATCGCAAAAAAACATCGTCCTGAAGATTTGTTGTTTAGCGGGGTTGTCGTCATGCAGGGCACCACTGTATAATTAGCACCAGTGGTTCTATTACACTGGGCTTGTTGGACATACATATGGGATGGAAGTTTATTTATTTCTTTGTTTTCAGATGCACGAAAAATATATACATCCCTGAAAGATTACTTACTGGTTGTGCAGCAGGTTCTTCTTTCTTCTCCTCTGGTTTATCGCCACCCCCAGGTGGTGCAAGTTCCTGAAAAAAACAAGCAATATATCAGTTGGCAAGAAGAGCACTGGACCTGGGAGGACAGATATTCCACATTTTGATTCAGTTGAGACATCAGTGAAGCCAAACTAGAGAAGAGCTTGTAATGCTTGAGTACATGATTTTCTCTCAAGAGTGGTGGACATCACACCTTTCTAGTTATGTGAAAAACAAATGCATAATTGGCTTATCTCCTTCATGCTGTTATAGCAATCTGTTATCACAGTTTCACACATTCAAGTGCCCAACAAGCACCTGCAATTCTTTCTAAGTTTATAACTCAAATCACACATCCTGTCAAAGGAAAGTTGAAGAAACTTAACTATAATTTGGTGTGAGATGTTTCAGTGAAGAAGCATAATTTGCGATCAGCTCATAAGCCAGGATCAGAAACTAAAGCTTTTCAAAGCAGACTCGTAAACCACAGTTTGTCCTAACTATGGTTAGGCAAGATGTCTGAATTTATAGATTGATGTTTAACTGTGACTCTACTTCAGAAAGTAATTGCACCATAGAAACAGTAGTTGCAGAAGATGGAAAATGAAAGCAAGCAACTCTGAACCAAAGTTGCCTCTGCAATGTCACAGCTCTGCTTCAACCCACCCACTGTCCAGCTGCTATGGATACCATCCCCCCTCCCCAAATTTAGTCCCTTCTCTTGTTCCATTTATCAGACCCCAAATTCCAAGCTACTGTTCCCTGCACATTGCATACAGCAGCCACATCAGAGTACAGATACAGTGTGGAATGAAGGACTAACCCTTTCCCACAGCACTCCCCATGCAATTAGGTGTGTTTTTTGCCACTCCCTCCCCATAGCTATTTCAGGGTGTGTGTGTTTTACCCCTCATCCTTAATCTGCCATGGCTTGACTAGTTTGGCCTGAATCCACACACACTCAAGGAGAGAAAATGGCCATAATATAGTAAGACTTACGTTAAAAGCACGGTTATTGTAGTATCGATCTTCTAGCTTTGCTCCCCATTCACAGGGATCATATCCAGTTTCTGAAAAATATATTTTGTAAAACTGCACACTGTATTCTCTCATAAAAATTAAAATTAGCTTCCCGGTCAAGCTGTGCTTATATTGAGTTGTAATTTCAGCAAAATACAGGTATCTGTGAATATCATATGCATCCAGCTTTTCAGAATATGGTCTCATTTTCTTTTCTATTATTTTTCTTTTTTTAACAAAACTTCAAAATAATGCACTTATGCAACTTACATATATATGCATCAACTGGAATGAAAATTTTGTGTGTGTGTGTGTGTGTGTGTGAGAGAGAGAGAGAGAGAGAGAGAAACATTCAACTGTAATAAAACGTATATATGCTGACATAAGAATAGGCAGGTTCCAAATATATTTGGAAATGCACTTTGTGTGTGATATACAGTATTTTAAAATATATGTCAGATATATTTTATTTTTCACTGGGACTTTTGGGAGAAATGGTAAATGGATGAAAATGATACATACTTTTAAAATATTGACCCAACAAAAGGAAATAATCAACCACTGTGATAGAGGAATTGCCCAACTAATTCAGGAGCAGATACAGAACGGTGTCATTGCCTGTCTTCCTTCCTTAAAGTGTTGTGGTGGCACACAGTAATTTTTCAGTGGTGCTATGCCCCTGAACTTTAGTCACTGACTTATTTTTAAAGTTAAAAACAAATCCATTCCACTATAGCACCTAAAAGCTCACAATATTTTTTTGCCCTGCTTATGCAAAAAGACACATGTGTACCCTGCTCTCAATATATATAATTTATAGTTAGGCTGCACAATTTGGGTTTTGGGGCTAGAATAATTATTTTGGTGCAGAATTTTTAGCACTCTTATGTAAGAGCTGGTACTTTGCCCTGTGCTATTAAAATAACCCTCCTCAATGTCACTCTGCTTAGCAACATCTTCACATTTAACAGAAAAAGAAATCTGAAGATTTAATCAACCAGGGAATGATGGAAGGAGTACTATTTCAAGCAAGAAAGAGTAGATTTCTACCTATAGCAGGAAAAGCTGAGAATTTGAATTGGAAAGAAGGAAAAATAACTGCTTATAACACATGCTCAATATTACCCCCTCCCAACTCTCCTTGAAAAATACCACCATTTTTTCTCTATCATCATTTATTAGACATCTATGAAGGCAGAAAACAAGTGGCCCAGCAGCTCTCAGCTTGCCTGTGAGTCAGTCTGAACCTAAGAACATGCTTGAGGCTCAGTTAATCAGTAAGGCTGCTTCCTCTGTCCAACTGTTTTCTGAAATGAATCTCAAATCTCATCCCAGAGAACAAAGAGTCCCAAGTTATTTTTAAGAAGTCACAGACCCATGAAAACACAGCTGTAGAGCTCACTGGGTTCACAACGTATCAGCCTAACAAATCTTGCAAGGTCGTTGTGAGGATATAATCAGTGAGACAAAGAAGGAAAATGTACAGTTTATCTTCCTGGGGAATGCATGTAAAAAACAGGATGTTGTTAGCTTTTTAAAAAGTCACAACTAAACCAGGGGAATAATACAGTGGTGCCTCGCGTAACGATGTTAATTGGTTCAAAAAAAAACATCACTAAGCAAAACACCATTTCCCATAGGAATGCATTGAAAGCATGTCCATTCGATGCATTCCAATGGGGGGGGGGAATTCACCAAAAATTAACGAAGACTCAGAAAAAAGCCAAAACTACGTTTGCAAATGTTTCACAAGGTGCACTAACGATTCCAAGCATTTAAAACAGGTTTCAAACATGTTAAGACACTTTTAAATGAGCGAAAACGGACATCGTTAAGTGAAAATCGCCCATAGAGAACATCGTTAAACGATGCGGAAAATTCCTCAAAAAAACGCATCGCTAAGTGAATACATCGTTAAACAAAGCAATCGCTAAGCGAGGCACCACTGTACTATCTAGGAGATTATCTGAGCCAGATATTAAAGTTGTATGCCTAGGCATACGTGCCTAGGAACAAGCCCCATTCAACCCAAGTTGATTATTTTCTGACTGTTGGTATAGCTCAGTAGTTTGGAGCACCTGGCTATGGATTCAAGGGAAAGAGGTCTGAATTCCCACTGTGCCTTCTGGGAGAGACCAGCTGAAATTACCTGGAGCATGTGCGGCTGATGGGGTTGCATATGATGCCACCTATGTGTGACTTCATGCAAGCTATACGGTCCTCAAAGGCCACCAATAGGAAGGAAAGAGTGGTAAACCACTTTTACGCTTAGAAAAATCTGGGTTGCCCTAAGTCAGAAACAATGTAATGGCACACAACTATTAGGCATCCATATAACTGGACTGCACAAGTACTATATCCTGGTCAACATTAAACCTTGTTTGGAATAGCTGTGAAATCCAGTTATTCACCAGATAATGCTCATGTTTCCTAGCTATTCTCCACAATTATGAGTCTGAAAACATCTTAAGCCAAATGAACACATCAATTCTACTGACACCAAGTTTCATACTATAGAGCAAGTAAGATCCTTGCACTTTGATCATATAGGTTACAGAAGTGATTCTCAACCTTGGTTTCCCAGTTGTTCTTGGAATGCAGCTTCCAGAAGTCCTGGCCAGCACAACTAATGGTGAAGGCTTCTTGGAGATTTAGTCCAAGAACATTTTGGGACCCAAGATTGGGTTAGAGAATCAAGGCATCTATCTTCATGGAGCATACATAGATATGTTGTAGCTAATAAAGCCCACAATTTATGGACTTTCCACTTTGAAAACAAAACAAAAGGTAGAGACTTTAGACTATAGTCTTATGCACACCACCCTGGAACTAAGCCTTACTGAGCAAAGTGGGACATACTTTTGAGTTATCATACATTGGAATACATTATGAAAGTCTTTGTAAATCAAGAAGAATGGCACATGCACAGGCATATTAAATGACTGTAAAATTAACTTGATTTATGCTCACTCTCTCTTTCAATGAGAAGAGTTTCAAAATACTTGGCTGCAAAGGTTGGTATATCTTCAGGTTGGCTCCTCAAGACTTCCCTGGCAAGCCCTTCCAGCAGGTTTGCAAATCCTGGAGGAATCCGTTGAGTGGTATTGGAGAATGGAATAGCCATTGTATCTTAGTAAGCCTTTTTTTCACCTGTCATTTCATTAAAAAAAAAACAGAGGAGATGGTTAAGCTGTCATTTGAACAACTGAATGCTTGATCTAGTCAGATGTATGACACTCCTGCTGTCCTAACATATACAGTATGTTACACAACTATCCCCTAGTCAACAACCAGCCTGGTACTGATCTGCTCTTTAACAGGCAGAATTTTAAAAATCATTCATGTGTTTCAACCCTAGGATTGCAATGCATAAATGAGTAAAAACCATTTTCATTGATTACAAATGTCCCCCCCCCCGTTTAGCAAGCAGCTGATACAAGCATATATCAAACTACAGTTTAAATATAATGTTAAGAATATCAAATGTCATATTAAGAAATATTACCACAGTGAGACAAAGAAATAGTCATTTGTGTGACACAATCATACAAAGAAGGTATGTTTCCCTATAGGACATTTTTTTCTCATATGCAAGTTTAACTTAAAAGTCATATTTAGGTTGAAGTGTCTTTAAATGCATCCAATATTGTACAATACAGACACCAACATGTTCCCTTGCTAATTTCTGAAGTTCAAAACATTGTTAAATGAACAGTTGCAACAGCCAACTAAGAGCAAAAAAAAAAAAAAATCTTAACTGCAGCCTAATTGCCATTAATGCTGCATTCTTATACTTTTGTAATTAACAATACGTTGGCAAAAATCTACCAGTAATTCACAACTACAGTAGCCAACTGCTCTGTAAGGTCCACTGATTCAATGGGCCTAATCTTGTTGCAACTTACTACTGGATTTCAGAAACTAAATTGCATTCAAATATACTGTAATACCGTATTATTACAGTTATTCATTGAATGGCAAGGAAAGCCAGCAAGTTCAGGAAATGAAGCTGAGATAACAGTAATTCCTCCTTCCTTTGCCTATTGCACCTACAATTAAACTTCAGCTAGCCTTTTATATGATCACAGTTTATATTTACAACTTCAGTTAGAATATAAACATCAGTTGTTACCCAATTGATGTAACTGGAAGTGTGACTATTTAGCTCTGCAAGAAGAAAATAAACCTACCTTAAATTTGTGAAATATATATGTGAATTGGGCTGTAAATAATGCAACTTAGCAACCTTAGAGCTAATATTAGTTTAATCATTGTCAAACCTTGACTATGTGAGAAGGATGTAGTTAAAATAGTCCCTCTGTTATGAAGAGTGAAACTGTATATGACAGACAATGTAAAAAACAAAGATTGTTCAAAACATAATTAAGGATCTCTGATCTATCACAAAATGACTGAGGCAAGATAATTAGTTATTATCACACTGCATGTATTAGTTGGCTGATTAAAGCCTGCTACTCTTTCCACATGACAGCCTTTCAAATATTCAAAGATACCAAATCCCCTTCAGACTTCTCTTTTCCAGACTTCTCATAGCCAGCTGCCTCAACCATTCTTCATAGGGTTTGCTTTCCATAGCTTTTACCATCTTGGTCATCTCTTTCCTCTTCCTGTTGCAATTATATGCCATCAGGTCACCTCCAACCTATAGCTCCAAATGAGTGATCTCCAGAATGTCCTGTTGATTCCCTTGCTCAGCTCTTGTAACCTCGAGCATGTGGTTTCCTTTCGGGACTCTGTCCATCTCGTATTTGGTCATCTGCTCTTTTTTTTTTTTGTGCTGCCTCCACCTTTCCCTGCATAATTGTTTTTTAGAGAATCCTCCCTTCTCCTGATGTGCCCAAGTACGGCAGCCTCACTTTTGTTATGTTTGCCTCCAGAGATAGTTCAGGCTTGAATTCTTCTAGAACCCACTTGTCTTTCTAGAAGTCCAGGATATCCTTAAGGCTCTCCTCCAGCACCACATTTCTTAACTGCCCAGCTTTCACAACCAGACACAGGGATCAGAAATGTGTGTGGATGCTCTTAGTCTTCCTCTCCAATGACACATCCTTACACTGATGACCTCTTTTAATTCCTTCATTGCAGCCCTTCCTAGTCTCATTCTTCTGATTTGCTGGCTGCGGTCTCCATTTGAACTGATGACTGAATCAAGCTATATAGATGATACATCTTCCCACCTTGATGTAGATTTTTTAAATTTTTTCCTGCTAAAACTTGTTGTGGCGCAGTTTGCCAGTCTGTTAAGGTCATCTTGAATTCTGATTCTGTCTTCTGAAGTATGAGCTGCCCCTCCTAGATTGGTACTGTGTGTAAATAGGACGAGCAACCCCTCCACCCTCTCATCCAAGTCATTTAGAAAGCTGTTGAACATCATCAGCTCCAGAACACTGAAGCACCCCTCTCATCACTTCTCTCCAAGAGAACACTGTTTGGGTGTTGGTCCATCGGTCAGCTACTAATCACCTAACAATAGCACTGTATAGCTTATATTTGACCAGCTTGACCGAAGCATATTGAAAGCAACCTTGTCAAAAACTCAATGACATTATTCAGGGCATTCCCCCTCATCACATTTTCCCCTTACCTTTTTGACCAACTTGACTTTATTCCAAAAATGGGTAAGATTAAGCTGGCATGACTTGTATCTTGCCAAGTCTTAGTAACCAATGTGTTCTTTCCTACATAATCATGGACCAACTAGTCAACTACCTGTTTTACAATCTTCTCTGGCATTAGTGTCAAGCTGATCCGCCGATTGTTCCCCAGATCCTT